TACGCTTTATACTTTTCAAGTTGTTTCATAACAATTAATGCTTAGCCAAGAAAATTTGGAAAATAATGAACATATAACGAAGGTTATGATCCTTAAAATGTTAAAGGGTTTTGTTAAAAATCTTCTTGTATGATGTACAATTTATCTAGATGAAATGAATAGTTAACTCAGCCAAAATGAACCTGCAATCCAAGAAAAAAAATCTATATTAAAATTAAGTGAATCCATACACTTATCATGATGAGGACTAAGTAATGTATAACAGATTGTTGTATCACTACATTGTACATATGAAACTAATATAACTGTATGTTAACTATACTGGAATTCAAATTAAAATCTTAATTAAAAAAACTAAGTAAATCCAATTTTAAATATTTAAATGTGAAATAATGTTACCCTACAACAGTACTATTTTTCACGAGTTAAAAACAAAAATCACGGGGTGCCTGGGTGGCTCAGTCAGTTGAGTGTCTGCCTTCAGCTGGGTCATCTCAGGGTCCTGGGCTCCCTGCTCAGTGAGGAGTCTGCTTCTCCCTCTGCCCTTCCCCCTGTTCCTGCTCTCACTCTCTCAAATAAATGAATACAATCTTTTTTTTTTTTAAGGTTTTATTTATTTATTTGACAGAGATACAGTGAGAGAGGGAACACAAGCAGGGGGAGTGGGAGAGGGAGAAGCAGGCTTCCCACGGAGCAGGGAGCCCGATACGGGGCTCAATCCCAGGACCCTAGGATCATGACCTGAGCTGAAGGCAGACGCTTAACGACTGAGCCACCCAGGCGCTCCTAAATGAATACAGTCTTAAAAGAAAAAAAAATCACTTCTAACTACCATTTATCTCAATCACTTAAGTTTATTCTAAACCCAATAAGGCAACTTATAAGATCAAATGATTCTGCTTGATGATTGGGAAACCTAAGGAATTTTTTAGTCATTGAGAAATGCTAGCTTCCCAGAGATGATCAGTTTCAAAGACAGTTTTTTTGTTGTTTTTGTTTAAGTAGGCTCTACACCCAGTGTGGAGCCCAATGCAGGGCTTGAACTCACAACCCTGAGATCAAGATCTAAGCTGAGATCAAGAGTCAGATGCTTAACTGACTGAGCCACCCAGGTCCCCTCAAAGATAGTTTTTTTAAATGTACATTCCTCTATATATTTATTTCACCTAGATTTAATTATTACCAAAACAAGGAACAGTGAGGGCTGGTGAAACAAACATTTAACAAATGAAATTACTGGGGCGCCTGGGTGGCTCAGTTGGTTAAGCGACTGCCTTCGGCTCAGGTCATGATCCTGGAGTCCCGGGATCGAGTCCCGCATCGGGCTCCCTGCTCGTCAGGGAGTCTGCTTCTCCCTCTGGCCCTCCCCACTCTCATGTGCTCCCTCTCTCTCATTCTCTCTGTCTCAAATAAATAAATAAAATCTTTGAAAAAAAAAATTTAAAAAACAAATGAAATTACTTAGGCTTGGATTACTGGCAGAATTTTTTAAAAACTCAGTTACATAATTAGTCATCAGGAAAATGCCCAGTAAACAGTACTTTGCACTTCGTAGCCTATAAACTGCATACTATACCCTCACATCCCTAAGTCAGGTGGCAGACTGTCCACACTGGACTTGCAGAGATGACCTAAAACTAGTTTTGCAACCTATTAGCTTGACATCCATTTTGAGGAAATAAAAACACCAAAGTGAAGCAGCTAAAAAAAGAATTTCTTTGGAAGAAGTTATTTGTGAAAAAATACTGTGACATTTTTTCTTTGTTCCCATTTTACCAAGCATGAGTAGCTCAAACTCAGACCTTGATCTGGTCCCCTGTAGACTATGAATATAGGATCTACGCCTGGCAAAGTCTAAGAGACTGTGACTGGCTACCTGCTCAAAGAGAACAAAGAAAAATGGCTGCATTACACTGTTATTGGCCTGTACATCCAGACTTTGTCAGGGCCAAGGATGTGAAGCTTTTTCCTGTGGACCTGATGATGGCATTGGTGTGGAGCCAGCTTAAAAAGGACTTTATCCAAGAAGGCTGTCTAGAGGCATTTAGATGCCATGGAGAGTTCACAGGGTGAAGAAACTAAAGGCTGGAGATTAAGGGCTGAGAACAAATCTTAAGCAGCTGGCTAAGTGTTGCCCATCGTGGCAGAGACTAACTCATCAGCAGATCAGCAGTGAGGTACACAACTAGACATTTGTTAGATATGGCTTTGTGTCAGAGAAAGCAACATGAGAAAAAGTAATGTAGGTCACTTCCAGGCCTGGCCCATATAAATGTCCCACATGTACTTCTTCTAACTCCATACACAAAGCACAGAGATCTCTATTGAATAGTTCTTACATAGTGAATGCCTATTCAGAGCTGGGCTCTTTTTCATAATCTTATTCCAGCATACCCATATCAAATGGTAACAAACCCAACTCATCAGATCCTGTCTCCTAATTATGATTTCCAGATAGACACGAGAGCAACAGTTGGGTTATTTTCTTCTGAAGATATGACAAAAACCTGGTCATCAGAGCTACTGTCTTGCTGGGAGAACTGGAGAGTATTAATGATGAGGGACTGTCAGTTCAGTTCTCCATGAAGTCTAGTCACATTCTAGCCTCAGGAGAAATGGGACCCAAAGTCTTTATCTGGTTGCTTAAATGGCTTCCTCATAATGAATCACTATCATCTGCGGTCATATTTCTTAAAATGGGGGACACAACTATGACTATAGTAAATTGGCTTTTATAAGCCACGTACAGTTTAAATCCCTAAAACAGCAATGTTTTATGATGTGGCAAATAATTCATAAGAGTATCAAACATAGGCATATTATGAAGTTCAATACAAAAGTCACATGAATTTTTACGGTACATTAGAATTCAAAGAAATGTTACTCTTCTAAGGTGTTAATGCACATCCAATTAGACTAAGCTGCACTGGAGTAGGATCTCTTTACCCTCTTTATACCCTTTGTAGTAAGCTAAAAGATGGCCCCCACAGATAACCAAATCCTAATTCCTATGAATATTTTCTTACATGACAAAGGGGTTTTGTAATTAAGATCTTGAGATGGCGAGATTATTTTAGATTATCTAGGTGGGACCTAAACGTAAGCACAAGTGCCCACAAAGAGAAAGGCAGAGGAAGATTCTACTACAGAAAACAGTGTGATGATGGAAGCAGAGATAGCAGTGACATGCTTGGAAAATGAAGGTACCACAAGCCAAGGAACATATGCAGCCACCAGAAGCTGAAAGGGGTAAGGAAATGAATCTTCTCTCAGAGCCTCCAGAAGGAACCAGAACTCAGAAGTTATTTAAGTTGAGCTACTTTTGCTTTAGGCTATCTACATCAGTTCAAAGTAATACAAACCATCTGAACAACACTTCTGCGTTTACAGGGAACACCGTCCTGAACCCTGGATGAATAGATAAGGGGGCCATATAGGCTTAAGACTATTTTGGAGCTTCCAGACTGGTGAACAAGTGAAGATTGCGGAGTAGTGTGCCTACAGAGGGCCTGGAAGCTTGCACCCTTTCTGCATGCTCGCTCTATGCATCTCCTCCATCTTGCTGCTGAGTCATATACTTTATCATATCCTTTAATAAGCTGATAAATGCCTGCAAGTCAATCAAGATGCACTGGTGGAAGCTCTTCAGGCAGGGGTTATTAAAGCTGCAGCGCTGGAAGTGATGCAACCAGAGCCCCTGCCCAGAGATCCTTGCCTACACCTCGCACTGGAAGTGCTACTCATCCAGCCGGAGAACAGATGACAGAAAATTTGGTTGAAAGCATCCTGGCTTCTCTCAATGGCCTTCCCATTCCTAATGAAATGCTACTTAAATGATTCATGTAGGCTGAAAATTCAGGGGGATGAAAACATAGTTTAATGGGGGAAAAAAATTTTGAAAAGAAAACGGGTAGTTCACGTGTGGTACTAGGCTGCATATGACCACTGTTTTACGTACATAAAATATATAAAACTACATATATAAAATTATCTATCCATGCTATTTAACGCTCGTCTGGCCTCACAGGAAAGAATTTGAAAAGCGAACACATATAGGTAGCTATCATCAGTTATTTATATATAATTTATGTATTATATCCATTCTGTCATTTGATCCTTACAACTCCAGGAAGTAGTCACGTAGTCATGTCTGGTATCGATTTCAATTCTGCAGTTGAGGAAGCTGCGGCTCAGAGGGTGACTTGCCCAAAGGTTAGGAAATGGCTCCTAGTCTAAGGTCTTCTACTAGATGATTTTACATCGATAATATCAATTCACTTATAAGTATGTTGTATTAACTTCTAAAATAACTTCAAGTTTGGAAAGAAAACAGAAGCAGCATTTTACAATTTAATAGCGCATTTTAATTTTACGTCTTTGGAAACCACTGTTTATCAAGAGACAAGCTGAAGACAACATGTGGACGAGTTACTCAGCAGTCTGTTTCTTCCCATGAAAATGAGAACAGTAAGAGTACCTACCCTTTAGATTGCTGTGTGGATTATATAACACACGTCAAGGGCTTAACATAGCTGGTTTCACAGTTTGTATCATACATTACAGGACGTCTCTTCCCAAATGAAAATGTGCTTTCTGACTTCGAAAATTTACAAACTCGGGAGATAAGAAAAATGAGAGTTGCAGGAGAAAAACAAAAACAGGTCCTGGGTACCCTTCCTTGAACAGTAGGCGAAGGGTACTTCGCTTCTACAGAAACGTGAGACAGAGGAGGCAATGGGGCCGGCGACAGCGACACCAACACCCAACCCGCGGAAGACCCGCGGGGCAGGGACAGCGCGGATGTGGTGCAGGGGCTCCCACCCCGGCACCAGAAGCCCCAACACGTGGCTCCCACCTCCCAGCCCCTCCCACTTCCCTCAGAGGTCCTCGTGCCAGAGAATCAGCGACTACGGCCTTCTCGACTCAACCCGCACTGTCGCCGTCCGTGGAGAGAACTGCCCATTCCGCGGACTAGCCCAACCCGACCCTATGAAATATACCTCAACTGCAAGCCCACAACGCGCGCGGGAAGAAACGCGAGCTCAGCCTCGGTGCGCAGCTGACGACCGGAAATCCACCCCCTACCTCTCTGATAGGGTAAACGAGCAAAGGAAAATGCAGAGCATTGGTCAGCCGCAGAGAGGCGGGGAAAGGGAAAGATGAGGGGTGGGGAGGGGCGACGAATTGCCAAGAGCCAGCCTCCCTGCGGATTGGACGAAAGCAGGACGTTTGCGCGTGCGTAGGCCCAGTTTCCGTAAAGCGCCGCACGGGACCTCCCCTTTTACGGTTCGTTAAAGGAAGTTTCAACGACTCATTGGTTGTGACGAAGGTTGTGTCTCCTGGCTGCGTGGCCAATAAATGACAAGAATAAAGTGGGTTCCGCCTCTTCCTCGGGCGACTGAGTCCTTCCGTTGACGTCGGGCAACGTGAGTTCCTTTCTGCTTTTAGACGCTGTAACTTCCACTGGGCCAAATTCGAGTAGAGAATTCTTATGGTGACGAGGAGACTTCTACTGCGAATAAGAAATACTTAATAGGGCCCTGAAATACCCACATACTCTCAGAACTTCTAAGAATGACTTCAGTGTTGGAACGCAAAGAAACCTGTCCTTCATGCCCTTTTTTTGTGTGTGGCTGTGTCATTGGCTGAAATAGCTATCAATTTGAGAGTAGCTCCGCCCGCGCCCTTGGGAACTCTGGGGTTTGTAGTATCAGACGCTCAAGCCCTGTAGCTTTAAATGTGGTTGTTGCTACTGAGTTCTAACTTATCATCACCCGCTGACGTTTACTGTGGTTTTGATGTGTTCCGTTGAGCTTTTTATCTTTTCACTGATCAGCACCGTTAAAGCCGAAGGACACTTAGGGAAACTGAAAAGACTTCATGTGTGTTTGTAAAAATAAATAGTGTTTCATACATTTTACAGCTTGTGCTTGGGCGCGCTGTGCTAGATGTTCGTAAATACGGTACTAAGATTCTTGGTTTGTAAAATTTTTGCTGTTACCACAAAACGGTCTTTGATTTTCAGATTAGTGTACATTGGAAAATATCTGAAAAGTACTCTAAATTTGGCAGTTATATACACTATTTTGGCGTAGGTAGCAGCTGCTTACATAAATCAAGTGTTGATATGACAAGAAGCAGAACTGGCTGCTGTCTTGACAGAATAGTGCTGTAGTTAAAATGTCAAGCGTGACCAATCTCAGCTTACACGCACTGTGTATTACTCAAGGCTGTATTATGAAGTCCATTTTCAGCCTGTATGGAAACATTATGTTCAAGTAAGGCCGGGTTTCCCTACCTTTATTGAATCAAGAACTTTCACTGCCCTGAGCCCATATGGTAATATTTCATCACTTTTGTGTTTGGCAAAGGTAGAAATTTTCCCTGAGTGGTCTTTTCCCTCTCGACAATTTTTTCCCTATTTAGTATGTAATACAAACTGTTCCATTTGTGTAAAAAAAAAAAAACATGATTTCTGATATATAATAGTTCTACATTCTGGATTTAAAATTAAGTACATTTTGTAGGATTAAAGCCAAGCAAAAACTGCTTTTATGACTGATGCTTGGAATTACTGCATTTTAAAAAAATAAAATTTTTATAATTTTTGTGTCTTCTTTCTAAATGACAAGAGAAGGTGTCAGGTTGTAAATGAAACATGGAAGATATGATTTCTTTTTATTCTCAGTAAATGAAGAGCCATACTAAGTGTAATCACCACTATTTCTCCTTTTCATATTCTATATGATGTACTAAGTGAAATCTATGAATACAAAAGTCACCCTGAGGCAAAAATTCAGAACTATCAGTGTTTTTAAGATTTTATTTATTTGTCAGAGAGAGAGCACAGAAGCAGGGGGAGCGGCAGGGAGAGGGTGAGGCAGACTCCCTGCTGAGCAAGGAGCCTGATGTGGGACTTGATCCTAGGATTTGGGGATCACCACTTGAACTGAAGGCAGATGCTTAACTGACTTAGCCACCCAGGCGTCCCCAGAATTATACGTTTTAATGCTTCCCATTAGCATTTTAATGCTCTTTTTCCTTTTGCCTCCTAATTTAAGTCAGTGGTCCACATTTGGGATATAAATTAAATTCATTTAACCAAGAATAAAAAAACATTAAAAACTGCAGCTGTCAAGACTGCTACTGTAGTTGGCAGTGTTTAGCAGAGTCAACTGAGTGAATCATGAGCACGTTTGGCTAATCTGTAATAACTGTCCTAAGTGCTTACTCTTTTGGAAGCTCCTAAAGTGTTCCACTTAAAGAGAAAAGGCTTAGTTATTTATTCAGAATTTAAAATAGAAATTAAGACAGATACCATTACTGCCTTTTAAGATGTGAACGCTGGAATCATTTTTGTATCGTGTCTGTTGAGAAATAGGTTAAAGAACAACCTCAAAGTGAGATAAATGCAAGAAGAGTCTTGAGATGCAGGAAGAGAATATTACAACTTCTATTTGTATTTACTTTTTAATCTCAACATTTTTCTTTCTATTTTTGTGTTTTAAAAAATTATGCACATGATAGAACAGTATAAATTTCTTGAAATCTAGCTATCTAATTTGGAGTGAATGGTAAAAAAAATTTGTGATCAAAATAGTCTGGGGGGTGTTAAAGAAAAATTATTCATGATACTTACTAAAGACAGTGAGACAGACTTTATTCATGGGGAGCTACTGTGGTGGGGTTTTATAATAGGGGAGAGAGATTGAACTCAACTCTGAATACACAAGTGGGAATTTATAGCCAATGGGAAGGGTGTGAGGGTCAGTGGATGGAAAATTACTAAGAGGAAACAGGGTAAGGGGGATTATTGCTAGATTGAGTCAGCAGTATTCTTACTGAAAACAGACTAGGGTAATCAGACATCACCTGGGGGATAGTGTAGGATGAGGAACCCAATCAGATAGGGTCAAACTGTTAGCATTCTTACTAGAACTGAACACCACAAGGGGAGGACATGGGAGCCCAAGGTCAGGCCTACTCAAAAAGAGAACAAGTATATATGTAGACCTCCAGAGACACTCTCCTATATACACACAGAAAAATTTGTATTTGCTATTAAAATACAAAGTCCAAATTGCACATAATACTTAGAAATACTCCTGTTCAGTCACTGTATCACGGCTCAACCAGAGAAATAGAACGAGTAGGAAATTATATTAAATTTTTTGCAAGGACTTGACATGCACAGTTTTGGGGGCTGGCTGGGAGCAAGTCTGAAATCTGTAGAGCAGGCTGTCAGGAAAAGCAAACTGGAACTCTCAGGCATGAGCTGAAGTTGTAGTCCACAGGCACCGGTGGAATTTCTTCTGGAAAACCTCAGTTCCGCTCTTAAGGCCTTTCAGCCAATTGAATCAGGCCCACCCAGATTACCCAGGATAATCTTTATTTAAAGTCTACTGATTATGAATGTTAATTACATCTACAAAATGCCTTTACAGCAACACATAGATGAAGAACTTCAAGTTTGAGAGTGGAGGTGGGGGTTTGGTGGTCAGGCCTGGAAGTCATTCCAGAGAACCACGTTTGACATAGTGTCTTGTATTTGTGGGAGTGGATTAGTACAAGCATACAGAATGTATAAACCAATCCCATTTTCAACTCTCCAGTAAAATACATCTAAAGGGAACAGCCTTACTTCAAACTTCATTCCAGCCTGCTTCTTTATCTCCCAGCCTCATCTGGCTGGCTAGTCCTTGAGACCTTGGCCTAAGAGCCTACATTTGAAGCCTCTGGCTTCATTCCTAAGCACCATATTCCTTTGTCCAACTCTTGAATCCCAGGGCCCATTGAAGGTTTCCCAGTAATACAGAAGACCTACGCCCAGGCAAGCATGCTTTTAATATGTAATGGGTACTTCTGGCAAGCTACCAGCTCTGGCACTTTCGAAAGTGTCAACAAGATGCCACTGAAGCCAGAGGGTGGGTGGTGAGGACATCCTGTGACAGGTGCCAGCTGGTTCATACCAGGCCCCATGACAAACTTTTTTTCAGTGGCGGCATTTTACCTCAGTTTTAAGATGGACTTTATTATTACTCCTTTCAGTTTAGACTGACGAAAGTTGTCGAAGAGGCAGGGCCAGTACTTTAACAGATAATTATGTTCATCAAAAACAGCACCTACTGCCAAAAACCCTCTTGACAGAGCTGCTTAAAGTGAATTGACTGGTTTGAGCTGTATGTTCTCTTCCTGCCACTTTGAAGTTAAAAAGAATGAACAAATAGTAAAATAGCACACTAAGTGGGGTTAAGAGGAGGAGAGAAAAAGGCCAGAGTGTTTGACAAACTAGTCTTTGGGTCTTTTATTTCATTAAGAATTAGGATTATAGTTTATTTTACACAGAGAAGTATGGTTAGGACTGAAACAGCTTGGGGTCTTAATAATTGCTATGGGAAAATTCACTTTTTTCTTGAATAAGATATGAAAATGCCTATTTGCCCATACATGTGAGGTGATTCAGAGCTTCTGGCAAGATTCGCTCTAAAAGGACATAGCTGAAAAAGTTAGTTATTGAATTGCTAAGGTGAATGCCACTACACATTTACATCCTCTCTTTTCCTCCTCTTTGCATCCAATTGATACTAATTTTACTCTTCAGGTTACTTTTAAAAACCGTTCAGTTTGGGAAAGTTTCATCATACACAAAAGTAGAAAAAATGGTATCACAAACCCTCAGGTATATGACCTTATCACCCAACTTTAACTGATGGCTAAACTTACTTATATCTATGCTTGCACCCACGTTCCTGTCACATTTCCTATCCCAGACATCATTTCATTTGTAAGTATCTCTTTGTATCTCTAAATGATATGGATTTTTTTCTCCAAACATAACCTCAATAGGCAGATATTTTAATAAGGACTGTTACTCAGGAGTAGGTGTGTGAGTTTGAGCAAGTTATTTAATCTCTCTAAGCCTCAAATTACTCATCAGGTGACACTAACTCCCTTTCAGGGGTTTCCTGAAGATTAGCATAACCTAAAAACACCCAGCACAGTGATTGCCACATTGTAGGCATTCAGGAATTGTTCATTCAAGTTCTGACCTTTGGTAGCCTTTACCACTTACTCTGAGAAGCTATAGGAAAGAAAACAAGAAAAGATGTTTGCTGAGCCTTTTAACTGTTGAAAATGATCCTAGAAAAAAAATTTTTTTTTAATTATAACACTAGGGATGTACAACAGCTAGAAAGTGGAATCAAAGAAGTTTAAACGAGGTAGATCAAAGTTATGGGCAAAGTAGAGCCCAATAAATGTGAACTTACGTGAAATACAGACTATTTGATTAATCTTAGGATTTTTTTCATGTGATCTCCAACTGATGTATGTGACGATATAATACAAAACTATTTGAGCTATAAAAGAAATATGAAAGAAAACGTTCTGCTTTCTTTTGTAGGGTTTCTGGAACTTTTAGCCCCTCATAAGTCAAATAGCAATGGTGTTCTTATTATCTTCATCTTTTTGGACTTACTTATTGGATATAGCTATTTACTCTCTCTCCTATTCTAGAAAAGTATTTAGTAGAAGGTTGGATTTAATTTTCTAAGCATTAAATTAAATACATTTCCTTGCCAGATAATACAATATCCTAAGTTGAGTCAAACATTATAAAGATAGATCTGATCATGATTGCCAGCATCTTAATATCTAAGCAATAATAATATAACATTGCAACAAAGTTGCATTTTCTTTCATTTTAAAAATATGTGGTAATGATAAAGAAGATAAAATAGTCACAGTGAGAGTGGGCAGCTTGAATGAGTTTGTAATTAGATGATTACAGATGATTGCCCTCAGGCTAATGAAGTGAAATGTTAGAAAAGGAACATTAAGTAGATTAAGTCTCAGTCATGAATATATTAATGTAATTAGCATTTTCTCACCTTCAAATTAAAATTTTGAAAAT